ATAATATATATATATATATATATATACAGGGTTTAAAACATAACCTCCATCCACCTTTGTAGCGGAAGTAATAAGCTTCACACACACACACACCTATCTATGATAGAATTAAAATAAATCTAAATTAATTTTGTGTTTCTAGGTTATATATATGTATATGTTCACATATAATTACTATCTTTTCCAATGATTAATTTTTCCCCTATTTATTCCACATTCTAGTTATTTACATAGACGGACAGATCAATGTCAATAAAAGTCTTTACATTCTGGAGATAAAGTCAAAGAAATGTTTCATAACAATTTAAAATTTTTGGTAATATAAATCTCATACTTATTCACAGAAAGACATCAAAATAATTGTAGTCTTACTAAGTTTCTGAGAATAAAAAATGAGAATTTAGAAAAGGTAATTATTTTTCAGTTACCAAAATTGCAAATATTCATGTTAAGTAATGACTTAATAGTACAATTGTTGATGAATTAAAACACTTACTTTATACAACGAACTTCCACCAATAACAAATATTTTCTCAATTTTCTTAACTAGTGATGGTTCTTTTAACAATTGAACAACTTCTTGAAAAGATGGAACTAAGTGGTGAGCACCAGGCAGTTCTCTGAAATAAATAATGTAATAATAATTGTGAAATCTTACATCTGATTGGGTGCATTTAAACACTGTAAAAAACTAACTAAATATGACTTAACTACATGAAATACTAATATGATAATTCCATTGCCTAATGGTTATCAGGATAATTATATTTTCAAAAAACATTTCCCAAGTTGTTAAAAATTCATGAGACATAAGAAATTGCCTTACAGTTTTGATCTTACACTAATGTTTTATCTATGCATAAAAGTATTTTCTTAATTATGTATCACAGGTGAAACTTCTGATAGGAGCATTTACTGATCCACCTTTTAATATATTGTCATCAAGGTACAGTATTTACATTATTTTTGTTTCATTTACAATATTTTAGTTTCTAATATATAATGAATGACAGGGAATTTTTGGTGTAAAATAAATAATGAACTGTGTAACAACTTTTGATATTTACTTCTTCCACACAATGGCTCTGAACAATATAAAGATTGTCCCTGTTTTGACAGCAGTTTCTAAGTACCATATTAATACACATTTTTTTAGAAAATATTAATAGAACCTTATAATATTTCTGCTATAATTTAATACTTATTTAGTTTAAGTCTGAGACATGAAAAAAGCATACAAGATACATTTATGTTATCTTTAAAACCAAGCATTAGTTTATGTTCAATCTGACTGAAATTTTGCTACTCATTTCAAATTACCTCATGACACTTCTTGAGTGTTTGGTGGGACGGGGATTCGAACCCGCAACCCGCAGATTGCGAGTCGAGTGCCCTAACCACCTGGCCATGACAGGCCATCAATCTTTAAGGAAACAAAAACTGATCATCTAATTTCTAAATTCTATTTATGCTGATAACCAAACCAGACCTTCCCTCAAACCTCATGTCAGGACACCTAGTACACTTTTTACAACGTGACTTGCAAAGAAGTTTATTTCTCTTTTCCTTAGCATTGTAATTACTGAAAACAATAAAAATTATAATGTGTGGTTTCAGTCATAACAATATATATTAGACCTAGGGAAATCTAATTTTAGAAGAGGAATTTGTTAAAGTTTAAGATTATACTACAGTTGATAAAAAGAATTGATTTAAAATAAAAAAAATATATATACACAATTTTCTAAGCATTTGTAGAAGTAATATCTATATTAAAACATATTTTATTAAATATAAAATTGGTAAAAGAAATTGTGTAAATGAATTTTACTTCAATACTGATAACACAGATATAAAACTTTCAAAATTTCAAATTCCACAGCTTCTTGTTGGAAATTATCTTACATCAATATGTTTCAATGAAACTACTGAATCAAGTCAACTTATAATAATTATTATATTAACACACACACATATATATATATATATATATTGGTGCTTCACAATGTACACTTTAACTCTAAAAGTTGTATTATTTTAACATAATAATAAATGGTATAGTATACCAGCTTTCAGGAATATACTTGCAAATTTGTGCTACAAAGTCATGCTAACATAAACGATATTTTGTATGTTTTATAGATACACTGTTCACGGTGTATTTATGTGACACACAGTGGTAGTGAATGATGTGTCAAGTTACTGTATGAGCACAAGCAACTTATACAAGATGTACTAAGCATCACATCTACTTAGTTATTTAACCTTTTCACTACTCAGATGAGGTGGAAACCCCCACCACATGCATTAAAAAACAATCTTTTTTTACCTTATGAAATCATAGTATAGTATAATGACCCCTGTATAGGCCTAATGAGTTGGGAGCAGGGGGTCAGTCAGATCCGGGCTGACCCTCACTGACTGCAAGCAGGAGTTGTTCATTTTTTCCAGATGTGGTATCAAACTCTTCTCTTATCTCATGCACTGACACAGCTTTGGTCATGAATAATACAACTATATTACACACTAATATAAATCACAAAAACTACTGTATAAATGGCTAATATCTGCACTATATACATTTTTTCCCACTATATATATAGTTCTCGGTTGACATCTACGGGTCACTGGTACAATCAGGTATCATATGGTGGCAGAAAAACCTAAAACATCATATGATGCTTGAAGCAGTAAAAGAGTTAATGGCAACCGATATTATTCTACTCAGCAATACTGCATGGGGAATAACATTAAGTGGTTCATAATCATCTAAACTTAACCCTTATTGATTTTTTAAGAACTAGATACATTTACATGTATTGAAATGATGAAACCTGACTGATAAATAATGTATACTTATTACTAAACACTTCTACAACATTCCATTTATGAACCTCTTGCTCTATTGGGCAGTGGGTCAAAGGAGTAGTTTAATGTTATTTCTAATCTTATTTTATAATCTAACAAAAGGGAATGAATACTTAATGATTTGATGTAATTTATTATATCACCCATTTTCAGTTGATCTGTGTGGTTAACATGGTTTGCAAATTACAATTACACACTGTAAACAGATTTCTATTTTCCTTCTCAAGACTATTTTCTCTTTTATTAGAAATGAAATTAGTGTTCTTATAATGTCAAAACTTCTTATAGAAAGTACTCTGACAGCCAGTAAAGTCTCCCATCTTTCTCCCTCTCTCCATCAGGGGGTCACAATTATTTTTTCTTTATTACCCCAATTACCCATTACTGTATGTATGTCATCTACTACCTTAGTGTTTTACATTTTCATATAAAATATTATCGTGTTAGATCATATATATTTTGATTAAAAATTTTTTAAATATGGATTTCACTTTGAGTACCTGAATATAATAGAATTTTTTTAAAAACAGTAACTACATTATATCCTATCCAACGACTTCTTGCAATGAATCTTGAATGTAGTATTATTTTTTATTCTAGATGCTTTTGAAATATCACTGAAACTTTAGGTAGGGTAGACATAGTAGGTTTAAAGACCTTACAGACAGCAACTGCCCACTGAATGAAGACATTTTCAGCTCCTTTGTGGCCTTCTCTAGGTCACTCTAAGTACTTATGTATTGTCTTATAAAAGTAATTAAGCATAGCCTTGTAGTCAAGCTCCAAGCTGTGTAGTTTGAGTGGGTACAGTGATTGGCAGGTGTTGTCGTTAGGACTATGACATCATCATACTATTCTGAAAAGTTTATTTAGAGTAGTTATCCACAGGTCACTGATGTACAAGCCCTTTTTCTAGAAATGTTGAGTTCAGGTTGGTGTAGTTGGATGCAGATAATTTTTTATGATATGTCCTGTTTTGTAGTTACAATCAGCCAGGGCTGGTTTATCCAGATGTGTTAGTCTAGTTCCACCATAATGTTATTTTAATCTTTGTTCTGTGGTCGAATGTAAATGTTGAGGCAACAACATTGTACTTCATAGAAGAGTTCTTTTTGTCCTGACTTGTTGGTTGGTTGTTTCACTTTAGTAGGGATGTTTTGAAGTTATCTTTAGACCTGCCAATATTAAATTTGAAAAATAATAATCCCTACTGGGACAAGAGAAAAATAGCAAAAAATGTAAATAGTGTTGCTACTAATTATGTTTTATTTATTGCTTACTAATTACAGTGTATTACTGATTAAGAGCCCTGTAAGTACTACTCTTGGCTTTCTTTAGGAAATCATCTGTAAATTCTTGGTTTCTGTGCCATCTTCATATCTTCCTTATAAGCACTGATTCTAAGATGGAGTTTGACATTGATTCTTAAGAGTCCGTATCTTTTACTGTTTTCCATATCTGGAAACATTTGGGTAAAAATTTTTGAAGCATGGTTGAAACCACCAAAGGTAGATTGTGTTCCACATTGAATGAGGTGAACAAACATTCTGCTCTGATCGCATCTTTTTCTGATTTCATACCACGTTTTATGAAAAATGAGTCCAGTGTATTAATTCCAGCACCCTCGAACAATTTTCCTGGTGTTTAGTAGTGTTAAGATGTTTTTTGATGTCATTTTTACCTCCATGAGCAATGGAGAAATCAAAACACAAATAGTACATCTCACATAATCCATACCCTTTGAAGATGATACAGTATCAAACTTTTTGAATACTCGTGCCTAAACTTTTCTTTGATGGAGGCTTAGGAGTGAATCTGAACCACGTTTTTCCACCATTTTCCTCTCAAAAAATTATCACAGCACCCTAGACACTTACTTCTTACATGCTTTTTAATTAGACTATTTCAAGCATTTGTAAGATTGAGATGCAAAGTGAAGATCAGTAAATTATTTCCAGAAAACTATTAGTAGAAAAAAAGGTCAGTGAAAACATTTCATAATTTAGCATAAAATCATAAAGTAACAACAATTTCTACAGGTGTAAAATGAAAAAAAAATAATAAAAAATTGGAACAAATACACTCAAATCTTTTAAGTTTTGGCAGGTCTGCATTTTACTGATTTGAAATAAACTTTAGCATTAAATTTCCAACAAATGCTTTTAGGTTTTTGCTTAACATGGGAAGGTTAGGTAGAGAAATGATATATTTATGTTGGAATTGGTCTTTTGTGAGCATTGAGGAATCTTGTTCTTCTTGGCAGTAATATAAAATTGGAAGGATTTCCATTGTTTTTGAAAACTCTTTTTCAACATGGTCTATGTTACAAATCTTTCTAATTATGTAAAACAAGTTTGATATAATTCCACGTTGAACAGCTTTTTAGTGGTTTGACTTGTTAGTGTGTGTGTGGGTTTCCCATAAATAGCAATGGTCAGATGGTCATCATGCCAGTGAATGATTATGTCAAGAAATGAAAGGGTCTTACTTTCTTCTAAATGTATGATGAATTGTATGTTGGTGTTTATGGAATTTAGATGATGGAGAAAATCTTCAAGTGATGATAATCAAAGCTGTACAAACCATCTTGAATGGAAAAGTTTAAAGAAATTTCTAGAAACATTTTCCTGTATTCTTCATTTTAGATGGTGAATTAACAGTTATGGGTTTAAGATGTTTTTCAAGGAATTTGGCTGTGCTATGGGAAGGTCAGCCTATGGCACTGACAATGGGTCTAAGAGGAACATCAGATTTATGGACCTTGGAAAAACTATAAAGCTGATGTGGATTGCCTCTATTGTTTAATAGTTTGATAATTTTCAGGTTCCAATCACTCGATAATTTTGTTAATTTCTTGTTCAATTTGGTTAGTGAGGTCTTCAATTCCTTGTAGAGCCCTGCCTGCTTAATGGATTGCAATTTTTCTTTGTAAGCCATCTTAAGTAGAACTGTAAAGTTTTCTTTGTCTGCCAATAGAATACAAAGAGTGGGATCTTTTGGAAGATTAATGAGTGTCTTCTGGTTCTTGATTGGTCAGAGTTGAGATAGATGGCTTATCTTTTTGTAGAGTTGAATGAGTGAGAAGTCTGAATTTGTTACTATTCACTGTTGAAAGATCTTTGGCAGCTTTCTATGTACCATTTATAATGTAAATGGTAAGAGCAAACTTGGGTGTTGAAGAGAAATTGAGACCAAGAGGGATCCTGCTCTCCTGTGGGAGGTAGGGTTCAGTAACTTAAGTTTTTGATCACTTGTAGAAAGATGATTTGTTTTCTGTTATGTAAGGTAAGTCAGTCAAGTTTGTTAATGTGTTTTGTCTTAGCCTTTTCTGAAATGTAGTTGAAACTAAATTTGGTTTTGTTTGGAGCTTGATTAAAATCTTCTTAGTTCATTGTGTCTATAATTTGGGTTTTAAGACCATTTAAACCATGATGTAAAGATATTGTTTTTGTCTGCAGAGCTGAACATTCTTAATGAGTAGTTTTACTAAGGTATCTTGAAGGATATTGCTGATACCAACTACCTGTTCATTTCATTCAACAGGCAGTTATAGTTTGTTAGAATTCTCAAACCTATTATGTGTAATAAATTTTTGACACGAGAGAATCATGAAACAGAGCCATAAAAACTCAATTCTACATATTCACTTTCAACTCCAGTACAGTTTTAGAGTGCATTTTAATTGGCTCAGTTCAGTCACATAATAAAGTATTATCATTTCAGTCTTTAATTAACTTAACTAAAGCATTATGTTCAACAACTTGATATGTTATTCTAAATTCAGTACAAAAGGTAAATAATTCATAATTATATAATTTCATGGTGCAACGTATGGTCATTCACATCCATTCTGATGTTGTACAAAACAAGGTATAGACTCAGTTCAAGAAATTTTAATAAAATGCAGATCAATACTCTAAAAAATAAAACTCACTTTAGTTCTCGACTCAGCACAATGTTAATTCTTCCAGCTAGAGGGCGATGCTTCTCAGGAATAGAAAACCAGGTTTTCCTCCCCATTACAACAGCATTTTGCTTCTCTAGTGAAAAGAATATTTTACCAAGTAAATCAAAAAGATTGATGAAGTCAAAATTTCTAATTACAAATTAAAAGAACAGTAAAAACATTTAATGTAGCTTCATATAGTGTTTTCGAACAAGTGCACCTGCTGAGATTAATCAGACCAGCTGGAATGCATTGGCAGTTTTCACTAACTGTTGTCTTTAAACCTGTAACATTTGCTAGAGTGGTATTCATTATCAAGTCTCTCTGTAATGCTAAAGGAAGTAGTCATCATTAATTCTTCTAGTTTCATTTTCATAACATTGTGAATACAAAATGTTTTTAATTTTTCATATCTCAGGCTTTCTGTAAGTAGTTTCTCAATCACTCTGATTTTCAGAGCTTCTAAAGCTATGGTCTGTCTCCTGGATTGTATGTAATAATTGATACAGTGAATGTTCCATTAATAAAACATAAGCTAGTGTAATGACTATTTTATGAATTGTAGATTTTAAAATGGTATTTAGTAAATAACTCATTTTAAAATTTAATAGGTCTCTGCATGACAGCTCCACATTTCAGGTAATTTACTCAGTAGCTTACAGGTAAAATAGTAAAAGAATTACCTCATTATAGCACAAGTTATAATTCTTTCTAAACTTCCTATGGTTTTTAATATTTAAATTTTACAGAAAAGAAAAAAGAACTTGAAGAAAGGCTTTAGATGAGGATTGTAGTTCACATGATGCCTGACTTATATTTACTAAAGAGAAGAGTTCAGAAGATAACATAGGATATGCAACTTAACATTTTGTCAGGTACCATTTAATCACTGTTTGTATCAACTTGCATGCCTTAATGTAGTTGTGATATACAGACAAACTAATAGCAGTAATAAGACATTTCTCAACTTCAGAGTAGGTTTTATCCAAACAAATCAAAAAGATACAAGGGTAAGAGGGGTTACTAACATGAAACAGTTATTCAACTCTTCACTGTTATCTTTTAAAATAACAGAGTTAATCAATGAGTAAAGCAACAGTTTTGAAAGCTTGGAACAATCCTAAACTTATGTATGTAAATACCACTATATTTGAAAAATTTCAAGCATAGACTTATTGTTAACAGAGACACCTAACATAAAATGTCCTCTAACCTGACATATAGTATATTTAAGAACAGGTGAAACTGTACATTAATAACATGCACTAAACATAAAACCATTAGTTCATACCTATAAAGAATAAATTAAAACTCACAAACCTTTGTCCTTGGTTGTTAGTGTTAAACATTTGAAAAATGACATTTCCCTTCTGAAAAACACAACCACAGTAATATAAATATACATGACTATATTCTATTCTAATTAATAAAAAAGGACAATATATAAGGCTGTTTTTCTTTTAATCTTTTAAATTATGAAGGAGTTGGATACAGCCTTGTTTAAGAACCTAGTACTAGTTACAAAATGTGTACTAGATTACAAGGTAATACATAAAACTGTGTTTATTTGTTGAACTACATTTCAAGAATTATGCATTGTATGAAATATTGGATTACATATAGAGCTGGGTGATAAACTCAATTACCCAGAAGCATCAATTAACTGAAATTATTATTAAATCACCACACTTATAAGGTTTCACAGACAGACACACACACACCCCTTACAGCCCCCTTGTATCTGTCACTAAAAGTGTAATGGGCAAACAGTAATCATACTATTCGATCTGGATAAATGCATTTTGGCTTTTATGACTCCACCTATTTTGAGCAATCCAGCATGACATAACACACATTGGCTTTTATATAGGTTAGATATTTTATAATAGTTTTTATTAACTGCACATGACAACAATATCACCAACTATAAGTAACAATGTTACTCCAAATTTCTCATATAGGCTATTTTTTTGCTGTTGAATTGTTATTAGTTTTTTACTTGAACTGTTGAATGTCCTCAATTTTTACTTAATAACTACTAAGTAAGAAATCTTTTAAGCATTTATTAATTGTAAAGTACTTTTCATTATATATTTACACATATCAGTTAATTTTTCTTCATTTTCATGCAAAAAATGTGACAAAAAGATATGAAATTCTTTCCAAAAGGCCAGAATGCAGACAGCCTTAAATGGATTGTCATACATTTTGAGCAATAAAACAACCTATAAAAATGTTGGTGGTTCCTAACCTTTTTCCAGCTAGGGACCAGCTGGTTCTGAACCCAAAGTTTCATGGGCCACTTCTTACAATATTAACCTTCTATAGAACTTTCTTTTTTGACAATTTTGCAGACCGGCTGAAACCTTCCTGTGAACTGGCATTGCCACATACCACATCAAGACCACAGTGAACAGTAAATCAACATTACACCTGGTCAGTCAGAACTGCTGAAAAGATATTGACTACAACAAGGCATTGAAGTAATACTAGTAAATAAATTAAGCACTATAATCTAGGTTTGAAATCTTCTGTACTGTTTTCCCATACCACATCTTTAGTTTATCCATGGAAAATAGATACTACCATCATCTCCGTTTTAATGATTCACTAAAACATAATTTCTTGCTAAATAATTTATATCTATCCACGTTTTTGTTCAGCAAATAATAATAATTTAATAAGTTGTGTGTTCCAAAAGAGTACCTTAAACTTAGGCTATAACCATGCTAGTTTTGATTGTTGGAATTTATTTCATTCCAATTATATTTGCCCCCAAAATGTTATGTAATGGTATTTCGTACTTTATTAGTAAGCATTATTTATAATAAATGGCACCAATTGCAAATAAACAAAAGTTAAAATGGTGATGTAGACTGCATGCTATAATGTAAAAATCTATGTTGACAACACACTATAGTAGCAACCATTGGTGTTTATAATAAAATGTTCAAACACAAAAAAACTGACAACCTTGTGTGTGGTTCTGATGTGCCTCTGTTTATGTATTTCAGTTTTTATAGCATGTCATCAGGACCTGAGCTAATTTTGGTTGCAGCAGCATGCAAAAACATGGGAATTGGATTCCAAGGAAAATTACCTTGGCATTTGAAGTAAGCTGATTTTAGGTTTATGGTTTCTAAAAGATTAGTTGTATTGAAGTTACAACAAAAATTCTAATCATTCATATTTTTTAAAGCAATTAATTAAATGGAATTCATTAATTTGAGACCAGTTTTCTTAATTATTTCATTAAAATATCAAAAGATATTAAAACGTAGTGTGAAACAGGTTTTTTTTTTGCCTGTTTGTTTTATGTTTATAGTTTATTTTATCATTTTTCATTTTTTCCAAATACAATATAATTTGAAGTTATTATTATTATTATTCATATTTTTAAATTTGCACACTTGTACATTGAAAGCTTGATGGTACTGTTTCTGTATTTTAGAATATCTCATGAAATGTACCCTATTATATTTAATGCTAAAGTAATTAAACATTTGTTCATTTTCATGAACTTATTGAAAACAACATTCTCATAAATATATCAACACTTAGTTCTAGAAACTTGTGTTTTACCTAATAAAATTAAAAAACCAATAGAATATAATTTGATATATAAAGATCACCTCCTTCCTCCTCGCACAAAACAGTCAAACCAAGAATATGTAGCTATTCAGATCCATACCTAAACAACAAATGTTTAAAAGAACTTAAACTAACAGCACTAGAGCTGAGAGATTAGTGGAATTCAATAACTGATCATTCATCAGGCTCAATAAGATTTATTTACATTCAACTAATAGGTTATTCTCCTATATGGCTTGGATAGTTAGAACAATCAAACATATAATAACTGGAAACACTAATTTCAATTAGTTGACTATTTAAGTATTTTAATGAGTTATAACACTAAACAACTGAATTAATTGAAAATAATAAAGAGAAATCATAGTGACAATATTTACATTACTTGGATAGTTGGAATATTCAAATACAATAATAACAACATTTACAAAAGCATTTTTCCAATTTAAATTAGCCTCTCAATTATTCTTCTTACTAATATTTATGTAAGAATAAACTATTTACTTAGTATTTTTCTGTCATTTACACTTGAAAAATTTCCTTCAAGTCATTTTAAACTTTCTTCTTATAAATATTGAAATTGGAAAAAATATGCAACTCCTGTGTCACTAAGATACCTTTTAGATTTTTTCTACAGTTACGTCAAAAAAAACTTCCTTCATTGCAAAAAAACAAAGTATAATGTCTGAATGTTAGAGCTGTGCAAATTTTGTCAAGTGTGCACTCTTCTTCAAATCTAGATTTGTAGATAAAAACAAAGGGGTACAGTAATTGAGATTATTCCCATCTAGCTCTATGAATTTTTCATTATTTAGAAAAAAAAATAGAAGCTTTATTTTCACTTTTTGTTATATTAGAATGATAATGTTTATAATATACTTGGTTCTGTAGATGATGTCTTTAGTTAAACATTCCAAATAGATTTAACAGTGAAAGAGCTTTCACTTTTAAACGAGAAAAACCCGATAGCATCATCAGTGCTTAACATGGGTGGAAGCCCAAACCTCGCTCATGGGCCCATGTATTAATCTGGGCATCAATCGGGGTTAAACCCTTATGGAAAAATTCTCTACAAAAGCACAAATCAACCTTTTCTTTTACCTAACCTCTTTATCCCACCATCATTTTATCACTTCAATACTAAGTAAAACAGACAACTTACACTTACAAGTTACAGTCACATGTACTAATGTAGACTGTTTAATTATTTAAAACAGCTAAGTTTCTAAAACTTTGATCATCTAAATACGTCCCCCCCCCTATAATTCTTCTGAAACACAGAAAAAACTTAAAACTTTAAAATTATACTAGGTACATATTATTTCGGATTTTACTACTCATCTCTCCACTTTTTGCAACATGTTGATAATGTTATGCTTCCGGCTTCACATAAACTTCACATTTAGATTTACTGATTTAACATACCAATAAGTTTAGGGTTTTAATTTTATAAACAATTATACACATAATCATATGACATATCCTTCCCTCCCCACCCACACCTCTCCCAACATTAAATTAATTCCCCTTTGAACAAGAAGCTCTTTCAAGTTTTTTTGTCTTAAGTTTCGCGCTAGTATTAAACTTATATGTAAAATAAATGTTTTACGTTTACAGGATCGTCAAATCGCTTTAAAAATATTCAATTTCAATCACGCTTACATTGCTGTTATACTCTTACCAACACCTAACTACACTCGCGCCAAAAATCACGTGAGCCAACTATCGAATTAAATATTTCAAAAAATATGTTAAAACAATTAAGTTGAAAAGAAAATTATAGTCATACTTTATGAGGTTTGTATTTTAATATCGCAAAATTATATTTAAGAAAAATTAAATAAATCGCTTAACGTTTATAACTTATATTACTTTAAGAATAAAACAAGGTAATCAACTGTAACACTGAGACACTTCTTTGTTTCGTAATAAACCCGTAAAGTAATTATGAAACTATTATAGTATTAAACATGCTATTTTGGCTATTGTCCAAGTAAAGAATAGGCCTAATATATCAAATGTGCAGTTTGTACGGACGCTATTTATGCGAATACGTCCCCCTGTAAGACAGCGATAAATCTACGGATTTACAGTGCTAAAGTCAGAAGTTCGAGTCCTCTCAGTGGACACAGCAGATAGCCCGATGACGTTTTGCTACAAAAAAATAACCAGAACACACACTCATTATGCAAATAATTAAAGTCATGGCTAACTGGAGATGTGATTTGCAACAAAATGTATATAGTGTATGGACTCAAAATGAAAAGTAAAGATGTTGCCAACTCTTTTTGAAGAAGAGTTTTCATTGGTACTTGTTTTTAGACTATTCTATAGAATTAAACATTAGGGGGATGTAGAAGTCAGTAGTGGCACAACATTTTTTTTGTAGTGCTATTAAATTTCAATACCATCAGAATGAAGAATCGTTCTATTATAAGCTGGGCTGGGCGTAGTGGCCATGGCTTAGTGGCATTACATCCGAGAGTTGATTGTTCGCGTCCTGTTGTCCCTCAAATCCTCTGCACTATGGATTGTGGAAGCGCTATAAGAGTGACTGTCAAATCCCATTATTCGGTCAGACATAAGTTGACAGTGGTGTCTTCCCTCTAGCTTATCAGTTCAAAAGGCTATGTGCAGTGAGCCCTTGTATAGTTTTGCGCGAAAATTCCATAATAAACAAACAAACTATGTAAGAACATAAAGGGCACACTAGATCTTTAATATACTTCTAAAAAGTTAAGTATCAAGTATTTATTCTTTCACTTTATAAAATGTGCAGATATGTAGTTAAATATTAATAGGTTTATTAATGCGTTAATTTAAAAAATGTAGCAAAATTATAATATACAGTAGTTGTATAAATTGTAATATATAATTATCTTAATCCATTTTCTTTGGCGTAAGAGTAATTCGTCATGTATTTAACATATATTTGCATAAGGAAATAATTGCGTTTTTATTTTTTTCTCATTATTGAAACTGAAAATTCCGATGGGAATAAAACATGAGGCAATTTTAATATTTGAAACGCCACCTGTTATTGGGTTCGAGAAGTTTCGGAAATTCTACCCCTCATCAGTAACTTTGAATAAATACAAAATGATGATGCACGATATTTAACTTATATTTTACTCTCCACAAGTATTTTATTTATTGTTTTAAAGTATGATGACATTAGCACTAACAGATGATCCTGTTTTCAGAACTTTTAATAATTCTTTATCGTTAATGGTTGGATATAAAAGAATAAAATTCAACTGTAAGTGAGATGAAGTTTGTGTTTGACAAGCGTTTCTTTGTGACAAGAGGTGAGCACCATGAAGAGGCTGACTTATGTATCACCACATTTCTTGTACAGTAAGAGCAAAAATGATTGATAAGATATTGCAATGGAAAATCGACACCGACGTGGCTTTGATAAGTATAAGGTCCTGTGTTCTTCTTTGAATCGATTAATTTTTTGTCAGTACTAGAACGAGTTGCGAGAAAAGATATATTCAAATACAGAACACAGTTGAAAACCTAAGATTTGACCTTACACTCATTTTTCCTAGTATTTTTGTACTGCTTTGTTGCAAATTTACTAATGCGTTTGTTGATGTAGACAAACCCCGAAGTAAATGAAAGTCATTGTAATACACCCAGAGATGATTTAGGGGTATAACTTTTAAGTCAGAAGGAGCCTGAGGCGAAAAAAACACACACAATAGACATCATGCATTTTATTGGTCATGAGGTATGCTATTAATTATCCATCTAGAAGAACTTAACAAACCACAAGCTGCCTCCTAATGCAGTCTTTCAGCCACAGTCTATAACATGCCAGCTATCAGTCATATATCTGGACCAGACAATAGAATTGCCCCCCCCCCAGTGGAACAGTGGTATGACTGCCGACTTACAACTGTAGAAACTGGGTTTCGATACCATTGGTGGGCAGAGCACAGACAACCCATTATAGCAGAAGAGAATACACAAGCATAAAGGTCAGTGCAAAAGCCGTACACAGCATAATAAAGAA